TTTCGCATCGTCGACGACAAAACAGGCCATGATGAAAGGAATAACGGCAACTCTGTATTGTTTTTTACAATCAGGATGGGAGGGCCCGCAGCCCGCATGGACGTCCGCGCGCGATGTGCGCCGCATCCCGTTCCTGCCACATATTTCGCACCGTCGGCGACAAGGCAGGCCATGCTGAGAGGAAAAAGCGGAGACTTTGTATTGATTTTTGACGGTCAGGATGGGCGGGCCCGGATTGACGGCCGCGCGCGCGATGTGCGACGCGTCCCATATGTGCGCCGCGTCCCATTGCTGCCACAGATTACGCACCGTCAGCGACAAGGCTATGTTGATAGGAAAAAACGAAGACTTTGTACTGGTTTTTTAGAGTCAGGATGGGCGGGCCCAGATTGACTGCCGCGCGCGATGCGCGCCGCGTCCCATTCCTGCCACGCTTTTCGCATCGTCGACGACAAGAAAGACGATGATGAGAAGAAAAACGGCCACTTTGTATTGATTTTTTATAGTCCGGATGGGAGGTCCCGGATTGGGTTGCTATCGGCCGGAATACGAAGTGGTGGGGGTATATAATAATAAAGATCCTACAAGGATGTGGCCCCCTAGAGGGGAGGGCGGGCTGGCCCGACGGGGCCGTCGCGTCATGGAGCTGTGACGAGACCCCGCCTGCAGCTCGGCGCGAGCTCCCGCTGCAGGCGCCCCACGAGAGCCGGACCACCAGGACTCGGGGCGGGCCCGTCGGAGTGCGCCAGCAGAGCCGAGTGCTGGTGAACTCGAGCCTTTCGTTTCCCCAACGCAGGCTCAGGCAGAAGCCTCCGGACCCCTTTGTCTCAGGGCCCCTTCGTGAGCGACGAAGAAGAATGGATCCCGCGCCCGACGGCACGGCGACCTTGCACCAAGGACTGCACAGGCCGCCGGAGCGGCACTCGACGGCGAAACGAGGGCGCCCACGCGCGGCCTTGCGCGGGCAGCTCGCGTGAGAATGTCCGTGCAGTCGGTCCCGGCCCCTGGGACTGCTCTCCTGGCGCACGGTGCCCCATCCCTGTTTTGAGGGGGAGCGTTAGGCGGGGACTGGCCCAGCGGGGAGAGCATCGAGCTGGAATCGGCAGTGCATCGCCAATGGATCGGCGACAGGTCCCCCAGTGGCGGCTCCGCGGTGGGCCACCAGGCCCCCGTCGGCGACGAGTGGGCGCCCGGGGCTCGATGCGTCCCCCCCTGAGGCTGTCCCCCCCCCCAAAAAAAACGCTGCCCCTGACACTGGAGGCCTCCTCCTCCTCCTCCTCCTCCTCCTCTTCCTCCTCCTCCTCCGCCTCCTCCTCCTCGCGCAAGAAGTGCGCCGTGCGACCCGCTCCACATGGAAGGACCTCTGCTCTCGGAGGTGCCCCGAGAGGCCGCCGACCCCATATGGGCCCCCCACAGGCCCGCGCCTCTTACGTAACTTTAAGTCGGGCCTGTCCCCCTACAGGCCGATTTTGGACGACAAAATTAAAAATACCCCCCCCCCAAAAAAAATACCCTAAAAAGACTCAAAAATTGTCACAAAAATAGACCCCTGACTATTTTCAGACTATTTTTGAATATTCCCCCTGTAGAGGGACAGGCCCGACTTAAACGTAACTCGAAGGGAACGGCGACAGTCCTCAGGCCAGAGGCCTCTACGGATTTCGGGCCCCGGCGCTGGCGATGGTGAGAGGTCCTGGCCTGACGCGTGGACACGACCCTGGCCCTTTGCCCGACCAGGGCAGCCTCGACCCCGCGGGACCCGAAATCGTTGGAGACCACTCACTGGGTCTCGCGCGGACTCCGCGCTGCGAACTCCTCCCCACGGGCCCCCCGAGGGCCCGGGACGACAAGCCCCCAGCAAGCGCTCGACCCCGAACGCCCGCGCCGGCGTCGCCGTGAAGCTGGCACGAAGCGCGAACCTGACGCAGGCCAGCCCCTTCGCTCAAGATGTGCATCATCCCCAGACCTGCGAAGTCCTGATTTTTTCAGGGCGGCGTCCCTGGAAGTCCCGACCCTTTCCCCGGGACGGGTTCTTCGTCCTGAGTCGCTTTCTGACGGTCCCTAGGCCCAGCGAGGGCCCCCCGGGGCCGAAAATCGCGAAAACCGTGCCGCCCTGACCTCTTCACGACGCGGGTCGGGCCCGGGTCCCCCGGGAGCCCCCCTTTGACACCGTGCCTCCGCGAGCTGCGCCCACGGGGCCGGACGAACGGGGGTGGCTTGTCGGCCCGCCGCTGCGCGGGGCGCCCGGCGGGCGGGCCGCGCCCCCCGGACAAGTGGCTTTCCTTCTTTACCAGCGGATACGACATGGCCCAGGATGACCTCCAAGAGGGCTCACGACATCCCAAGAGGTCCCCTCATGGCCTCCTCTGTGTGTGCTGCCCACTCCCAGGATCGAGGCAGTCCCTCTGGGCATCGTTTCTGGATGGGCTGGTGGGAATTTTTGGTCAACGACCTCGTGAAGCGGGTCAAAAGGCGTCCAAACTCTAGCCACTGGTGGGGATTCGCGCAGCACAATCATTCGTTTCTTTCTAAACGGATACTACATATGCCCCCTTTCGTACAAGACCCCCCTCCCTCCCATCGGCGGACTCTGTCGTGTCGTCTCTTCGTCGTCGTTGCTCGCTCTGTTGCCACGGGGCTCCTCTCGGCTGGTGCAGAATGTGTGGAGCGCCCGGGAGGGGCTCGCTCAGAGGAAGAAGGCACGGCATAAACATGCACCATCGACGGCGGTGAAAGGGGGGGTGCGAGTCCTCTCTCACATATTCTTATTCAGCTGATTTGCACGGGGCCGCAGGCGGCAACGTATCCAGGAAAGCGCCAGGCGGCGGAGCCACAACCAGCTGCGTGCAGCAGAATTTGACCCCCCCCCCCCGTTTGGTCCGACCCGACATGCCTTTTAGAGCTGCGCGCAGCCGCTGCCCAAGAGGCCCCGACTGCTTCCCCAGGGGTGCTTCTCACCCCAGATCCGAGTTTGTATAGACCCCGGCCTGGGAAACCAGAAGCTGCCGATGCCGCCACTCCCAGGACCTCTCCTGTGGCGCGCCCTGCAAAGGCTTTCGGGGGCGAAACCAGCCGTGGCGACGAGGGCCTCCCAGGAGGCCCCCAGAAGTGGAAAACCAGGGAAAGGCAGCGCCATCTAGAGGCCTCCCAGATGGGGTCTGAGTAGATGGGGTCGGAGGATCGCCCCGCGTCGGCGACGTCGGCGAGGCATCGGCGACGTCGGCGTGGAGAAAACAGGGCTCCACATCGAGCCGCATCGCCGATGCATCGGCGATACGGAGCAATCATTCGACCTCATCTGCTCCGCTCCGACCCCATCCAGGATTAGGTCGGGCATGTCCTCCTACGGGCGGATTTTGGAAGAAACAATGCACAAAATAGTCAAAGCAGACTCAACCACAATCAAAAGAATCACGAAATCGTCCCCTGACTATTTGTTCTACTTGTCTTGAATATTCCTCCTGTAGAGGGACATGCCCGCCTTGCATCTAGGAGGCCCTGAGCAGCGGCATCGGCACCTTTCAAAATCTACACGCTCCTCGTCGGAGAGCTCTGGGCTCTTCGAGCTGCGCCCCGCCGCGGCCGCGAGGGCCCCCCCCCCCCCGGGAGAGCCCCACCAGAGGGCCATGCACGTTCCGCCCAGGGCGGCGCCGCCGCCCGCCGCCGTGGGACAGCCCAAGGGTTAGGTCGCGATGATCCCCAGACTGTGTCTTGACTATGTTTGGATACTCCTCCTGTCGAGGGACAGGCCCGACTTAACCCAAGGGAGGCGAAGGAGGCCTGGAGGCTTGGAAATGCGCACCGGCACCGACACAGGGGGTGGCCTCCACCAGAGGAAGATGATCCTAGCTTCTGGTGCTGGTGGGGTAATGTCTCGGTCACCTCGAAGCCCGTATGTCGACACCAGCACCGAGATCGGGATCGTCTTCCCTCGGTGGAGGCACACTGCCGAAGGTGGTGTTGGTGTCCACCACTAGGCCTCCAAAAGACGAGACCTCCAGCAGTCAGGATCAGCCACATCAACTCAGGAAGTCGAATCGAATCGAAATGTGCGTCGGATCGGGCTGCATCGGCACGGAGCCGAAATCGGATCGGATATGCCGCCACAGGACGCACAACGCAAACATCGGCTGCGGATCGCCGAGATACCAAAACAGAATGGGATCGGACCAGCCGTAATCAAATCGGATCGACCGGACCGAAATGGATCCTGAGAGTGTCCGAGAGCCGAACAGAAGGCTCAGGAAAACCGCTGCCAACGAACACTCCTGGCACAGGAGGTGGATTAATCGCACAGCCAATATAAAGACAAAGAGAGAAAGAGAGTTAGAGAGATGAGGGCGAGGAGAAATGATAAGGAAAATACCTAAAAAGGAGGAGGAGGAGGAGGAGGAGGAGGAGGAGGAGAGGAGGAAGAGGAGGAGGAGGGGGAGGAGAAGGAGGGGGCGGAGGGATGATGGGGAGCAGTCTTCCAAATCCGTGCAATGCTTCTTCCCCTCGTGGGTCACGGCGCGAGGTGAGCCCTGGCCATCGCTCGGACGTCCATTCCCTGTGCTTTTTTCGGTTTCGTGCGTGTTTTTCGCCAAATGATCAAGGATACTCCTCGATGGTCCTCGCCGAAGGAAAAACGCACACGTCCGAGCGATGCCAAGAGCCAGGGGAGCGAGGCAACCAAGGAGCCATCGAGAAGGCCGCCGCGCCCCCCGCGCGAGCCCGCGCGAGCCCGCACCCGCCGGCCCCCCACGAGGCTCCGGGAGCGAGCGATGGAGAACGCCAGCGGAGACGCACGGAGCGGGGAGAGAGCGAGGCGGAGCGAGGAGGGGACGGAGGAGGCCGAGGGGGAGCGAGGAGCGAGCGGGCCACGGGGGCGAGGAGCGAGGAGCGAGCGAGCGAGGAGCGAGGAGCGGGCGAGGAGCGGGCGAGGAGCGAGCGGGGCTCCGAGCGAGGAGGGAGCGAGCCAGGAGGGAGGACGTCGTGCCCTCCGCGCAGCTCCGCGCAGCCCCTCCTCCACCAGATCCGCCCTCTCGGCCAGCAGCTGCCGGCGCTCGGCGAACACCTGGCCGCCCCAGCCCCGCCCGGCCTGAGGGCCGATGCCGGCCAGGCCCACGCCCAGACCTCCGACGACATGATTTGTTTAGTCCCAGCGCTTTTTTCGATTTCGGCATCTGGGGCCCATCATCGGGCCCCGGGACCGCCCAAGAGTGGATCCAGGGCAACAAACTGGCCCCAGGGAAGGAGTCGGGAGCTCTGGGACCGCGGATTGAAGAACTCACATCGGCGGATGTCAGGGCACAGGGCCGCACATGCGAAATAGGCCAAGCAGAAACACGTGCCAGGCAGAGGGAAACTCACAACACCAGGGACATACAACTCGCACGGGAGGCTGTTCCAAGCCACATGCACTGCAAGGTGCAAGTTCCCTTTTTCACATAGCCAGAAAAATATATTACACCAGAGAAAAAAACCCAATCAATGGATGGTTTTCGCTGGGGAGATCGACTCGGAACACGGGAGCCTGGGAACCCAAAACGAACCGAAATCGGCCCGGAACCAATAGCCGGGAACCCGGGAACCCGGAAACCCGGGCACCCGGGAACCCAGCCTGCCACCAAATCGGCGGGAAACGTTCGACAAATCTTGCAACCTCCGCTGGGACACCTTCAGTGCAAGCACTGATTGGGGAATGAACAACAACTGCACGGTGCAGTCCGTTTGTATCAGGCACACGCGAGCGACGAAACGAGGCGGGTCTCGCGCGAGGTGGAACCGCCACCTCGCGCGGTGGCCCACGCGGGCCGCCAGCGCGGCACGGCACGCTGGGAGCGAGGACGCCTGCGTGCGGCCTTGCGCGGGCACCTCACGCGCGAAGGTCGGCGCGGAGGGACCCGGCTCCTGCCATCGCTCACTGTGTGTGCCGCGATCACCCACACGGAGGGGCGGGATCCCCCGAAGGGACCTGTCCTGGCCATCAGCGCCGCTGGCAGAACACTCGCGCGGACCACAAGCTGCTCTGGAGCCCAAAAGAAGGCCGACGGACCCGCTCCAGGCTCAGATAGCGTGCCGGCTCCGAGAAGGGGCAGGGGACTGGCCATGGCGAGCCCCTGGTGTAAGATCGCGCCTGGGCCATGGAGGTCATAGATACAGGGCAGTTTTTTGATACACAGAATTTCCAATTACCCCAGTGCGACCCTACCTAGGAGTTGGAGCCCCTAGGAAAGCTGCATTAGTAGTAACAGTAAAGCTAAGCTAAAGCTAAGCTAAAGCTAAGGTCTAGCTAAGGTCAAGCTAAGCTAAAGCTAAGATAAAGCTAAGCTAAAGCTAAACCAAAGCTAAGATAAAGCTAAGCTAAAGCTAAGCTGAAGCTAAGCCAAAGCTAAGCTACAGCTAAGCTAAAGCTAAGCTAAAGCTAAGCTAAAGCTGAGGTAAAGATAAGTTGAAGCTAAGCTACAATTAAGGTAAAGCTAAGCTAAATCTATGATAAAGCTAAGTTAAAGCTAAGCTGAAGCTAAGCTGAAGGTAAGATAAAACTAAGCTAAAGCAAGGCTACAGCTAAGCTAAAGCTAAGCTAACGCTAAGCTAAATATAAGCTAAAGCTAAGCTAAAGCTAACATAAAGCTAACTTTAAAGCTAAAGTTAAAGTTAAAGCTAAGCTAAAGCTAAAGCTAAGTTAAAGCTAAGCTAAAGCTAAGCTAAAGCTAAGCTAAAGCTAAGCTAAATCTAAGCTAAAGCTAAGCTAAAGCTAAGCTGAAGCTAAAGCTAAAGCTAAAGCTAGAGCTGGAGCTAAAGCTAAGCTAAAATAGGCTAGACAAAGCTAAGCTAAGCTAAGATGAGATAAGTTGTTCAGCTACGCTAAGCTAAGCTAAGATGAGATAAGCTAAGGTAAGCTAATATAAGCTAAGCTAAGCCAAGCCAAGCTAAGCTAAGCTAAGGATGAGATAAGCTAAGCTAAGCTTAGCTTAGCTTAGCTAAGCTAAGCTGGGTGAACCCAGGGGGCGCAACTGGGGGAACCGCGGGGCGGGGACTGGGGGAACCGCCCGGGGCGGCCTACACTGCCCGGCCCCTTTAAGCAAACCAAGTAAGAACCCTCGAGGCAGAGCCCAGGTAGGGAAAAAAAATATGTTTAAAGCATGATCAATGTATGAATGAATGTATGCATGAACTCATCGTTGTTTTAAATACTAAATCCCTGCATGTTTAATAAATGATCCGCACGCGGAGCATGTATGAAAAACGGCACTGTAGGGAATCGAACTCTATACACCGACGCTTCTTCTGGCCCTGCATCAGCTATTTGCACTTACGCGCGAAAGTGTACATGCCGCCGCCTCTGAGAAAGGAGCTCACGGCGTGGAGGCGGTCGTCTTGGAAGACGACCTCTGTGCCGCTTCACTGTCAGCATGCACGCGCATGTCGCCGAGGGAGGCCAATCTGCAGAATGCGCCTTCGCCTTGGCGCATTTACCAGCCCTGCCTACTTCGGATTTGCAGCGTGCCAGGAGAGCGCACATGCGGCGCAACTGCTGGAACGGGTGGGTGGCTCGGCTGCCTTGTGCGCGCGGCGCGCTATCCTCACGCTAGGCGGCTCCCGCCGTAAACTCGGGCACTAAGACATGGGGGCAATCTCAGTGGAGACGAGGACGGGTATACCTGTCGTGCACCGTCGGGGCTCGGGGCCCCGGGGAGCTCCACGAGGGCCCTGCAGGGTCCCTGTCCTGCAAGACTCGCACTGCCACTACGGAACGCCCTTACGAAGCCTGTGTATCGCCCGCTCGAGACGCCACTCGCGGTCCCCCCCCTATCGCATCGCCATGACGAGACGCCCGCCAAAGGTGCGGCATCCGCGCTGCGGAGCGGTGCCGCGCTCGCAGGTGTCTTAGGCCGAACCGTGCCCCCCTCGGGGTGCAGAGGACCAGCGATCCGCCTGCCTCGTGGCGTGAGGCCCTGTGGGGCGAGCGGCACTCTGACGCTCAGACCTCGGTCACAGAAGTTCTCTCGTCCCGCTGGGCACAGCTCAAAACAAGCACGAGGCCCCGCAAGGCCTCCAGCTAATCGTACCCCTGCTTCTCATTCACCTCTCCCTCCCCCCCTTACCCCCCTTCTTGGTCCCAAGCCCTCCCGTCTCTCCCTTCCTACCTCCCCCCTCCACTCCTACCCTCCCTTGATCTCTCTACCCCCCCTCCCTCTCCCTACCCGCCCTTCCTACCCCTCCCTTCCTCTCCCTCCTCCTCCTCCTCCTCCTCCTCCTCCTCCTCCTCCTCCTCCGCCACTTGCTCCCTCCTCCTTCACAGCCTGCCTCCCCGCCTGGAGGATCTACTTCCCGAGATACACCCCCCCCCCAGACCGGCGGGTTGGCGAGGCGCAGGATGTGGTGAGACAGGACGCTGGGCTGCACCACCTCGACGGAGAGCTGGAAGTCCACCAGCCCGAAGCAGGGCGCCAGCGGGTCCTTTGGGACAGTGCCCAAGGTGGTCACCATCAGGGAGGTCGCCACTTCCTTGAGGAAACGCCGCTCCCCGAAGAAAGTGGGCCCCCGAGAGCGCTCCAGAGCCTTCAGAATATACCCCAAACGTCCACACATCGGCGGTGGACAAACCTCCCTTTAGTAAACCACCCTTTAGTGAAAACGGCCTGGGACCGAAACCGACGGACCTGGACCCGCAAAAATGACGGCCGCGACGCCCTCCCGCGAGCCGAAAACGGCCAATTCACTAATCGACGTGTCAGGGTAGGAGGTCTGTCCACTCCCGAACAAACACACACACACACACACACACACCTCCTCGAACTTCGATCCTGTGACCTCGATCTCCAGGAGGAGCCAGCGACCTCCCTGGTGGTGGGCCCCCGAGAGGGGAGACCCCCGTGGAGCTTAGAGAGAGACGACAGAAACTGCACAACCAGAGAAACTTTTCGAAATCCGCTCGGATTCCTTGGATCTGCGCTGGGACCCCACCCTCACTGGCGAGCGGAGCTCAGGGGCAGCGCCGGAGGCGCCGCAAAAGGGAGCCCGCCGCCGATCCAAGAAATCCGCGATGACCTCCGGCAATGTGGTGGCAGCTTTGAGCATCGTGCACCCGATCCGGAAAGTGATTTTACACATTCGGTGCCGATTGTTTTGATTTGTTGGGCCGCAGAAGCCACCCCCCCTCATTTTGGGGCGTCGCCGCGCCACGCTATGTCGTGCCACGCGTTAATCGTCAACGCGATGCTGTGCCATGCAATGCCGTGCCATGCTGCGACATCCGACTTGTGCGAACAGGGAGGGGATCTGCGCCATGGTAAGGGATGGGAGGGCGGGGTAGGACGTCAGATATGGCGCGAGCGCGCCTAGCCCGTCCCTATCCCCTCTGGCGTGGCCTTGGCCCCGCTGGCCGACTTGCCCACCGAGGTTGAAGGGGCCCCAGGACACACAAATAAATACACACAAATAAAAAGATTCCCCACAGTTCCCCATATGTCTTGGGTTTGTGTCTTCCCCCCCACTTCCCATATCTTTGCATATTTTCCTGGGAGTCGACGATTAACTGTGCCTGTGTGTTTCTTTCCCTCCTGCGAGGCGGGGAGGTGTGCCGTTTGTTGTCCTTCGGGGGGGCGAGCGGGCGAGCGGCCGCGCCCCGCCCGTGAGGGCGGGCGCCTCTGGGCCCGTGGCCCGGCGCAGCCGGCGAGGCGTGGAGCTCGGAAGAAGAGCGAGAATGAGGTCGGGCGTGCCCCCCTACAGGCAGATTTCGGGGGCGGGAGGTTGGAGCTGCGCAGAAAGTGCCCCAGCAGAATCAAAGACACGGTCCCCGGACAATTTTCTTCACTATGTCTGAACGCTCCTCCTGCAGAGGGACACGCCCGACTGAAAGCCCGGCGGACCGCTATCGGCGGGCCAAACATGTATGGAGCAGAAGAGGAGGAGGGAAGAGGGGAGAGGGGGACTTGCCAGTGCTTCTCGGTTCGGGGAGCAGTGCCAGAATGTGTCCTTCGGGGCTCGTGGGCAGGGACGTGTACCGTGCAGTGCCCCTCGAGGGCAGGAAGGTGGGCACGGGCGGGGATCCTTGGACACAGGCTCGCCCAGCGAAGTGGTGAAGATGAGCGTCAGGCCGGGGTGCACGGCGATGGCCTCCTCGCCGGGCAACGGGCGCATCCCATGTCCACGCCCCCCGGGGCCGGGGCCTCAGGGCGCGACCCCGCGGAGACGCGGCCGCGCGGGCACGTTCTGCGCGGGGCATGCGCGAGAGAGCGCCGCGCATCCGCGGGGTCGCGGCCCAGCGGCCCGGCCCGCGCAGCCGCGGACACGGATGCGTGTCTCGTCCACGCTCCTCGCCGGGCAGCGAGACGAGAGCGGCCCCCTGGCGCACGCGCCGCCGGTCGAGCAGCTCGGCCAGCACGTCCATCTCGCGGAGCGCCGGCAGGAAGGTGTTCTCTATGATGACGAGCGGCGGGGCGTCCTTCTCGCTGTTGGGGCTCCTGGAGGGAAAGAAGCAAGCGGCACAGCACACAGGCGTTCGGAGCTCCGCTCGAGGTTTTTGGCTCGGCGCTGGGCACGAAAATGTATGTTTGTGCAGCTTTTTCGCCTTCCTTCCTCAGCGTGTCGATTGTCGTCGCGCCCTTCTCCAGCTCCGCCAGGAGGGCCAGGAGCCTCTCCCTGAAGCCCGGAGCGCCCATGCGCAGGCAGAGGGCCTCTCGAGAGAGACACGGGCGTCGGCAACGACGGCGGCGGCGACGACGGGATCGGCGACGACGGCGGCGACGACCGCCCTCGGAAATCGGCCCCGAGGTCTCCTGCGCTGCCTCCCGACAGGCAAGATCGAAGGAAGCCCAAGGCCGTGGCGACGAGAGGCTCCTCGCGGAGGCCGCGAGAGAAGTCGGAAGGAAATCCGATCCTCGAGCCTCCACGGATCGACGAGGGGCGACGGCGCAGAGTGCGGCGGCGGCTGCGGACGGCCTTCGGGTAGAGGCGGGCGAAGATGATGGGCCTGGTTTCCACCACCACCACCACCAGAAGTTGGAGAGGGAGGGGCTCCTCCTCCTCCTCCTCCTCCTCCTCCTCCTCCTCCTCCTCCTCTCCTCCTCCTCCTCCTCCTCCTCCTCCTCCTCGTCCTCCTCCGCCTCCTCCTCCGCCTCCGCCTCCGCCTCCGCCTCCTCCGCCTCCTCCTCCTCCTCCTCCTCCTCCTCCTCCTCCTCCTCCTCCTCCTCCTCCTCCTCCTCCTCCTCCTTCCCCCCTGCAACTTAGGGTGGTGGTGGTGGTGGTAGTGGTGGTGGTGGAGAACAGGCCCATCAGAAGAAGCACGCCGCCACGCCGTCGGGGTCGTACAGGAGCGGCCAGGTGGAGCTCTGCAGGACGGTCAGGGCGGCGCTCTGCACCTCGGCCGGTGGCTTGCCAGCCAGGGGGGGGTTCCCCCAAGCATCGCGGGTGGGAAATGTTGGGGAGCAGCTCCTGGGATTCGGGATCGACCAAGGGTCTGGTCAGCGTTCGGGTTCGCCGAGTCCGACCAGGAGACGACCAAGAGGCCCGAGCACTGACTGGACTCGCTTGTGGCCCCGAGGAGGCAGTTCCACGGCTGATTGGTCAGGTCGGCGTTCGTGCGGTTCCATCGGCAATCGAACAAATTACTGGGAGCCCAGCGCTGACACGACTGCGATTACATTCCCCATGGGAGGTCTTCGCAGGAAAGACTGAGAGCTGTGAAGCCCGATTGCGGGGCCATCGAGCCGAACTAGGCCACGCCCAGGCCAAGGACTGAGCCAAATGAAACGGGATTGGGCAGAGTCCCGCCAGTCCTCGGGGCGTAGGTGGTTTAACGAACTCGTGTCTTCTTTCGTCCATAGGATCATTCTCACCCTGCTCGGGGGAAGGGTTATCACTGTTCCCTATATACACCCCCTCCCCCACCCGGCCAGCGTCCAACCCGGAACCATGCCGACTCCATGAGGGCCCGTTCCCTACCATCCCTGTCAAAAAACAGTGCAAACCGCACTCTGCCTCCACATTTGGAGCATGCGCGGCCAACCCGATGCGGCCCCCCCTCCGTCTCTGTCACAAAACAAAACAATGCAAAGTACACGTTGGGGCAAAGTCTTGGGTCATGTTCGTGAGGCCCGCGAGCAGTTTGTATTGTTTTTGACACACACACACACACAAAAAAAAAAAATGCACCTCGCGGCTAAATTTGGATCATGTGCGGCCATCCCGCGATCACTGTCAACTGGTTTTTGGCAGGGACGGCGGGGGTGGTGGCGCGTGGTCTGGTGTGCGCAGGCCCACCAGACACAATGATGGGCATTGGTTTTCGACAAAGATGGCGGGGGCCAACATGTTTCCCGACGTGTGCTGTCACATGCGCATTTGCACCTGACGCACTCTGCACGTGCCACGACCGTGGCGCACCTGGCGCGGCTGGATTGTGCGGCACACCTGGCGCACTCGGAACACGTAGCGCATCTGGCGCACCAGGCGTACCTGGCACGCTCGGGCCACAGGGGTGCCTGGCGCACGTGGCTGTAATAATGCTACGATGCTTCTTATTCGAATATATTAATAAGATTATTAATAGAAGTACTAAACATACCAGTATTAATTCTGCTATCCGTATCATTAGCATCATCGTTCGTGATATTGTTACTATTCTGGGTAATCGTATTATCTCTGATATTCGAGAGAACGCGTTTCACGGGCGCTTGCCTGGGGAACATTCGGCGGCGCGTTTCGAACCGGGGGGTGGGCCCCCCCCAACACTCGGCGCCGTCGATCAAAACCAGGGGGACTCCCCTCCCCCCAAGCCCCCCCTCCCGAACCCCACCCCCCCCTCTCGGCGCAGGCGCTGGCGCTGGCGGCCGCCAGCAACGCCCACGGCGGGGTACAGCGACGATAACCAGAGACAGCCCAACGGGGGGGTGTCAAACCCCCCCCACCCTTGGCGCCGGGGGGGGCGGGGTTCAAACCCCCCCCAACCCTCGCGCCGGCGCCAGCGCTGGCGGCGGCCAGCAGCGCCGGCGCTGGCGCCAGCGACGGCGGGGACGCAGCGACACTTACCACCACTACCACCACCACCACTACTACCACCACCACCGCCTCAACCCACCACCACCACCACCAACAACAACACCACACAACTACCACCAAAAACCACCACCACACCCACCACCACAACTCACCATCACCACCACCACCACCACAAAAACCCACCACCACCACCACCACAACCACCACCACTGCCAGCAACACAACCCACCACCACCACCACAAACCACCACACCAAAACCACCACCACCACCGCCACCACCACAACCACCACAACAAACGTCCACGAATCACCGCCACCACCACAACCCACCACCACCACCACAAACCACCACCACACCACCACCACACCACCACCACATAACCACAACCACCACCACCACAACTCACCATCACCACCACCACCACGACCACCACCACAAAAACCCGCTACCACTACCACCACCACCACCACAATGTACCAACAACGCCACCACCACCGCCACAACCACCACCACTACCAGCAGCACAACCCACCACCACCACCACCACCACCACAAACCACCACACCACCACCACCACCACACCAACACCCACACCCTCACCACCACCACCAGCACCACCTCCGCAACCACCGCCACAACCACAACCCAACCCACCACCACAACACCACCACACACACCACCGAACCACCACCACCATACAACCCACCACCACACAACCACCACCAAACCACCACCACACACCACCACCAATCCACCACCACCACCACACCACCACCCACCACCTGACCCACCGCCACCACCACCACAACAAACACACACCACCACCACCACAACCACCACCACCGCCACCACCACCACCACCACCACCACAACCCACCACCACCGCTACCACCATCGTCCTCGTCGACGCTCCCCGCCACCGCCGCCCGCCGCAGCAGGCGCCGGCGCCGGCCCAGAAATGGAAATCGTCGTCCCCGCCGCCGTCGCCGCCGCCGACGCAAGCGCCGGCCCGAGGAGAGGGGAAGCAAGGGGGGGGATCGACACACCCCACACCCCCCCCGTCATTGGAGGGGAGAAAGGGGGGGGGTTCGAACCCCCCCCGTCATGGGAGGGGGGGGGGGGCTCGACCCCCCCGTCAACGGGGGGCGGGGGTTTCGAACCCCCCCCATACATCCAGGGGGGGGGGTCCGGTTTCAACCCCCCCCCCTCCAAGCGACCACAGAACGCGCTCGTTCTGAGATTCTCTGAATGCTCACATTATTCTTATTCCCATGATTATTATTATAATTCGCACGTGCACTCGTATTTTATTCTCCGTCTGCTTGTCACGATTAGAAGTCTTAGTGTGGTTCGTCGTGGTATAAGTCTTCATAGATTCGTGAAAAGATTAGTATCATCCTTGTTCGCAAAAATTGTTTTGTTCGGTGGTGAAGGGGTGAGATCGAAGTGGAACGGAGAGCCCCCCTACCGGGAAATCGATTTCGGTTTCGTGTTCATAAGTGCCGTGCGTGCGAGCAAGACAAAGCTGCGTGGGCGGGCGAGAAGAAAGTCTCCTGTAGCTGAGGCGCGGCCGGACCAAATGATTCCGGACCGGCGTCCGGTGGCCCGCGGTGTCCCGCCGGTTTCCCGCGGGTGTCCCGCCTCCGGCTGAGGCGCGGCCAAACCAAATGATTCCGGACCGGCCTCCCGTGGCCCGCGGTGTCCCGCTGGTGTCCCGCCGGTGTCCCGACGGTGTCCCGATGATGATGATGATGATGATGATGATGATGATGATGATGATGATGATGATGATGATGATGATGATGATGATGATGATGATGTCGGTGATGTTGATGATGATGATGGTGGTGATGGTGGTGATGATGGTGTCCCGATGATGATGATGATGATGATGATGATGATGATGATGATGATGACGACGTTGATGATGATGATGATTACGATGGTGATGGTTGTGATGATGATGGTGCCCCGATGATGATGATGATGCTGATGATGCTGATGATGATGGTGTCCCGATGATGATGATAATGATGATGATGTAGATGATGATGAAATCATGAGATGCGGATGATGGTGATGATGAAGTTAAAGATGATGATGGTGTCCCGATGATGAGGCGGAGGAGGTTGATGATGATGATGATGTTGATGATGATGATGATGATGGTGATGATGATGGTGGTTCCCCGATGATGATGACGATGATGATGTTGATGATCATGATGAGGTTGATAATAAGGATGGTCATGAGGTGATGTTGGTGATTGTTATGATGGTGGCCCGATGATGGTGATGATGATGCTGATGTTGATGATGATGATGGTGTCCCGATGATGATGATGATGATGATGGTGATGATGGTGACGACGATGATGGTGCCCCGATGATGATGATGATGTTGATGATGATGTTGCTGATGATGATGATGGTGTCCCGCTGATGATGATAAAGAGGTTGATGATGCTGTTCATGCTGATGATGATGAGATGATGATGAGGGTGGTGTTCCGATGATGATGATGGTGGCCCGGTGATGATGATGTTGATGATGATGGTGACGATGATGGTGTCCCGATGATGATGATGATGATGATGATGATGATGATGATGATGATGATGATGATGATGATGATGATGATGGTGCCCCGATGCTGATGAT